TGGCCCATTGTTGTATTTTAATGATTAGCATAACATTTTAATGCGGTCAAGCAAGTTCTGCTTGACAAGAATTATCAGGATTTTTCTCCACCCTGCTTTAATTTTTCTCTCCTCTCCTTATCCCTTTAAATCCCAACTTCACTTCCCTCCCACTAATGACAGTCCCTAGGGCAGTGGGTGAACTGCAACCTGGAAACAGGCCACGGCTCTTCCACGAAATACAGAGCTCTGCAGTCAGCAGCAGGACTGGAGTCCAGTGACCCTTATTCCATATGAAGTGCCATGAAACTCACGGCAAATCGGTTTGTGCTTGGCCATCTGCGTGCTGAGTTTCTGCCGGACTCAGCAGCACCATGCTAAGGCTCAGTAAGAAGGAAGGGTTTGCCGAACACAACGAACGCCTCTGCACACTGACAGCTTGAGTGTTCTTGTGAATTCTTTTTTTCTGAAATTTCTGACTGGGTTGGGTACACCCCTCCCGACATTAGGAGGGGTCGCCTAGTTCCCTCTCAGACTTTTCTCCTAACACGTTCCCTTGAAGCTGAGTCAAGCTTAATTTTTTAACTGAGGCCAAAGGGTTAATGCGTTTCCTGTTTGGTTTTAAGTGAGAGTGCCAACTTTTTTGCCAACTAGCACCACTAGTCACAACTCACCTTCATTAATTACTTCTGATTTGAAGAACAGTACATTTTCCCCGAATTGTACATGCTCCCAAAGTTCAGACCTGTGCTTAAACATGTCGTACTTTATCACAAAAGAGATTCAATCTCACTGGGATAATCTTATATTCAGTTAAAGGATAACCATGACTAGAGGTGCCGTGGGTTAGCTAGAGGAATGGACATCAGGATTCCCAGGCTCCAGGTTAATTCCACCACTTACTTTCTGGATGTCTGTGGATAATTTTCTTGTATTGCAGTTTGTTCTGCTGCAAAATAGATTTAGAAGCAGAAGAGATCTGTGAAATATTGTTGGCTAGTGAATTCATTTTCCTGTAAACTTACAGCTGTTCTTTTTTGCTGATACACCACTCTGTAGTTTTGTGCAATTTAAATAATTCTGTATAGAGTAGCAGGAAGCAGCTTCACTTAAGAGAATATTTCACAGCCTAAATCATAGGGAAATAAAGAATAGATTTCTCCCAAAGTAACCTTTTCTAGCTTTTCCACAGTTTAAACTGTTCTTCCTGTAGTGGAAAGTGAACAGACAGGCTACTGAAGCGCAGGACTGCAAAGCCTCTGCTCTGCTGTCAGAGCCCAGCATCTTTGGGCACAGCAAGTGGAAGCAATCACATGCGCAGCATCTGCTAGCACCAGAATCTCAGAGGTGGTTGTTTGCTGGGATCTAAATCTCGCCATCGCTCCACAGATAAAATAGCGTTAGCAACAACAGCATTCCAAGCCCGTTGATGTCAGCAGGGGTCTGTTATCGTTGCTTTCGGCACAGAGGAGTTGGCAGACTGACACATAGGCCACCAGACGTTTATTCCAGCCCTTGCCCTGAATTAGGCATTTGCCAGATAAAGAAGGCTAGCTCTTAAATCTGGCTGGGCAACACAAAAAAAATCCCAAACCCCCACCAACCAACAAACCAAGAACCAGGAGCAATAACAATTTTCCTCTCCTTTTTTGCTCCTACCACTTTTTTAAGCTAGAGATGCAGCCTAATGGGTGGCTGCGATCCTAACCTCAGAAATAGTTTGCATTTTCTTAGAATAAGGAGTGACTCACCCCAGCCACTTACTCATAATCACTGTAGATTGTTGCTGGTGGAAATACGTGCTGCCAAGAACAGGACTCATTGGTGGATAGGCTGAACACATTTTTCTTGGATAAAAACAAAGTCTCAGTCCCCAGAAAGTTAATTATTAAGCCACTGAGCTGTCAGGCATCTAGAGAAAGATTTGTAGTGTTCTATTATTAACTCAATATAGTAATTCTGAAACAAATACTTCAGGAAAAAAATGTAGCGATAACACTATTCAATGTATTCTGCATTCTGATCCCCTTTACTATATATAGAAATAGAAAAGTCAAATTAACAGCATATATGCTAAAAAGTGATTAAAGCAAGGAGTTGTGTTTTAGAGTAACAGTACCCTGACATAGAACTTTTAAGAGATTATGCCTTATATTCAATATCTAATCTGGTTAATTATTCATAAATTAGCACGTAGATGTTTTCTGTTACTACAAGAGGTGCCCCGATGGATTTTATCTCGGTACTTTCTTAATAGGAAGATAAGGCGCATCCTACCAGAGTGGTCCAGACTGGGTGAAACTCCATGGCAGCCCCTTCACAGCAAACGCCGTTGCCTGTAGCACCCTCTCCTGGAAGATGCGATATTTTACAGAGTTAGAAAATAAACTACTCCAGAATTCTGCATTGTTTCACAAGTCACTGTCTCATTGCCCTTATAAACCCACAAACATAAAGTACGTGGAAGAAATTATTTCATTTATGAAAGCTGACCTTGCATAATTGCTTTTATATAGGTTAATTCTTTCCGTTCTCTACAGACAGTGACACAGAAATTCATGATTTTATAACCGGTGCTTTTAGGTCAAAGCTGGAGGTTTGACAACAAAGCAAGCGACGCACCAGGCTTCACCGCAGAAGCACAAAAGCCCTATTTGGTTGTTTTTCCCCCCAGCACATTAGAGGGTGCTGCAGGGTCTGGGGTGCCAGACCGGCCTCCTGCTCGTCATCCCATCACTGTCCACGGCTTCTTCCGCAGGGGCTGGGTGGCGCCGC